CCACCCCCACCACAGGCAAGGACACCTCCTACCAGCCCAGGTTGCTCCAAGCCCCATCCAACCTGCCCTTGGACACTTCCAAGGTTTGGAAGATTTGATGCAGATGAGAAGATGGTCTTGACCATCCAAGGATGGGGCAGAACTTCCCGTGACAGCTGCTCTGGGTTGGTTGTTAGTGTTGTTTTTTTTCCCCCTCAGGGGTGGGATTTGGTTTAACAGGGTTGGTGGGGAAGGGGGTTCCCTGCAGAGTTGGTGGAGAGGGGGTTTTCCCTCAGCGTTTGGTGGAGTTTTCATCTCTCATAGGTTCTTTCTTCCTCTCCCCAGGTGCTTTTGTCATCTGCTGGACACCAGGCCAAGTTGTCCTCCTCCTGGACGGCCTGGGCTGCAAGAGCTGCAACGTCCTAGCGGTGGAGAAATACGTCCTCTTGCTGGCTGAGATCAACTCCTTGATCAATGCCATTGTGTACTCCTACAGGGACAACGAGATGAGAAGCACCTTCAGGAGGATCCTCTGCTTTGTCTGCTACAGGAATTCCAAGTACACCCCCACGGTGGTGAAGCTCAACACCACGGACCGCAGGACGCTCTCGCAGAACGGGCACTTCACCGTGGATTCCTCCATTTAAAGCTCTTCTGGAACCCACCAAGGTGGTGGCACCAAACTCTTTATCTCAGCAGAGGTGAAGAAGCCTCTTCCAAAGCAGCTGAGACTTTTTGTGTGCTCAAAACATTGACATTTTAGGGGGAAGTTCTTGAAGGACAAGATGCTTTTTAAGGGACTTGCTGGATGGGTTGGTTTAGGACAGAGCTGCTTGGAGTGGTGTTTTTATTCCAAACTGCTGGTTCTGGGAGTGGGTTTGGAAGCATCTAGAAGGAGTCTCAACAGGAATCTCTCAAGGAGCAGAGTGTTTTCTTGGTCCTTCAGTATTAAAATAGTCATTCCAGGGGGAGCTCCAAAGCTCTCCAGCTTTTCATCTTGCCTCCTCAACAGAGTTGCTTGGTCTTCCCCTGGAGGGTCTTCTCCAGGTTGTTTTCCACCTTCTCCACAAACCATGTTGTTCTGAGGGCCTCTTCTCTAGAGGGATCTTCTGGAATTGCTTCCCAAGGAGCAGATTCCTCCTTTCCCAAGTGTCTGTTACTGAATTCCAAAGTTTCTGGGCTCATGGGAGGTGTTGAGAAGCACCAAATTCTTTGCTAAAATGGGGAGTGGTGCTGGTTGGGTTTGTGTTCTGAGTGACACCACATGGGACACATTCCCTGATCCTCCCTGTGGAGTGAGTCATGATCCCATGAAACCACATCTCCCCACTTCCAGGAAGCCCTTTGGGATGGGCTTGGGTTGGATCCCAAAGAAACCAGAGCTTTGCCTTGAGGTTTTCAAGCATGTAACTTAACACTCATGGGGCTGTTCCAATCCAGGCTTTCATGAAGTCACTACCATTGGAATATTGTCTAAATTGATCATTTTGGGGATTAAAATTTGGGAGAAAAAAGAAATCAGCCCCTAGGGTTCTAGGTTGGTCACCTCTGCTGGTCTAGCAGAGAAGATGATTTACATTTCACTCAGGTGAGGACCTTTTCTGGCAGAACATGGTCAGGAAGTGACAATCTTAAGGTGCCAAACCCCTGGATTGACTCCATCCTGGAATTTCATTCCCATCT